CAAAAAGCTGCTCGGTGGAAAGGCGCGTGAGCATTGCTGGTTGAAGATGCACATACTTCAGCGCCACCTTTTGGGCAGTCTCTTGCCGCAGATCTGCTGCTAGAATTTCCCCAGGTGGGATCAAGAAAGTTTATACAAAAAAAAATCCATCAATCAACTGGAGCCAACGGTTCACCAGTCCATCACAGGGGGCGCTATTTAATATAAACAATACAATGCTAGCATGTGTCGCATGGAGACACTGTTTAATGATATAGACAAAAGATTTTTGTTTGGGATGCGCCACCTGTCTGTAACGTCTTCTTCTTCTACTGCGTCACTGATCAGTAGCCGTGTGTGTAGCCAGTGTTTGTCAGAAGGTGTGAATTTATTCTTTCACACCTAGAGTATATATCTGCTGTACTCCCCACCACCAATTAGAACTGAAGAAGCCTCTTGGATGAGAGGTGAAACGTCTTCTTTTAGAAAATTCACATCCAGTTGCCTAACAGAACTTTTAAATTTGTTTGTCAGAAGTATTTCTGTGGACATACTTGAGACAGGCAGCAGCAGTCCTGCTGATCTGGCATGTCCTAAATCCCTCTGTCTCACATGTTTGCAAAGTGTGTTAACTGTTTGTATGTGTACTGTTACACCCATGTAAGCACATCAAGTACTGAGTGACTGAGTGGGTTGTCTGTTAGTATTCCCAGTGCACTGTCTTGGAGTGAAACAAGTATTTCACAGTAGTCCTTTAAGCCATGTAGTGAAGACATTATAGAAGTAAAAGAAAAAAAACAACAACTAAAATGTAATTTGCCTTTTAAATGTAAACAAATAATACAAAGATATTCCAGTACTATAATTTATGTGTAATTATTATCAATATACTTATATAATTACAACTGATCACTATTCTGAGGATAAAGCACAAGCTTTTTAGCTGAGGTGTGCTCTTCAATTCAACTTTAGGAATAATCATTTCTACTAAAATGGTAGTGGAATTACAGTGTCACGTAAATGCAGTCAAGCAAACACACCCTGTGGGGCCAAGGCAGCACCATAAAGCCCTGCTCTCACTTTCCCAGTCACAACTATGGGGGGGGAGGGGGGGGGGGTGAGACCGGGTGGATTCAGAACAAACAAAGAGTCTGAAGTATGACTGAGGATTTGATTGATCATTTTCTAGTGTTCATTTTCAACACAGGTCTGTTAACAGATGAAAGGCAGTTGACAGAAGGCTCAAAGTCATGTGTGATCACTACTCAGTTTTGAAGTACATTGACTTTGTCTATCTTTGTCTATCTTTGTCTATCTATCTAGTTTATTAGTTGGATGGGAAGATGGTTAGTTAGTTTGGGTGGTTTGTTAGTTGGATGGAAAGATGGTTGGTTGGTTGGTTGATTAGATGATGATTTTAATAATGAGTGTAAATTCATAATTTTCAGATAGGGCTCCACATGGGTGCATAGAACTTTCTGTTCTAACTAAAGACGACGGTGAACTGAGGAGTCACACTGGGTCACTGCTGGAGGTTAGAAAAGTAGGTCTGACTTAAGTCACACCTCACATCACAGTAGCAAAACTGGTTTGTTCTGGTTTAATTCAACACCTACACATACAGATGGATCGGGGACTAAATTTGATACATTGTAAATGCAACATCAGCGTCTTAACCTGCTTTAACTATTGGAAATGTTGAAATACATTATATAATGGAGTGTGTGTGAGGAAAAATTGCATTCTGGGATGTTTATTTATCGGATGAGTAGGTCCCATTTATGTGAAGAAATATTCATAGGAAAAGTGGAAATTTGACGGGTACGGAGTTTACAAGGAACTGGGTCAACTTCACGCTGAAACCGCATATGCAAAATTACATCAGCGGAGCAACCAATCACAAACCTCATAGCTATTGCGTCAGAGGCGCTTGCAGCCAATCACAATTTACCACGATAGTAGAACAAGATCTCAGACGCAGCCGCTCTGGATCAGCAAGAGCAGTGATTACCGGACCTACTGTTCCGCGGAAACCTTAGGGTTTCTGTCGTAATTCCAAAGGATACTTGGT